CCTCCCCCCTTTCCCTACCTCTTCTCTCCTGCTGCACACACGAGAACGAGGATTTCCTCTTCGAATAGAGCCAAAGAAGCAGTAGCAGTTGGACCTTTCACATCCCGGCGACACGTTGACGTCGGCGACGAGGAGGTGGAAGAAATGAGGTAGGGCGGGGGGGGGATATGTTTTGCGCCGTGGGCTCGTTAGCGACAAGGGCGAAAGGGGCGGGCGCAGGATCAAACGGCTGTATTTTAACGCCCCAAGTTTCGAGGGCTGCCCGACGCCGCTGGCCCCCCTTGCCTACCCCGTGCTGCTATCCGTGCCCATCGGGGTCAGATAAATAGGTGCCGTTTAGGCGGCCGCCCGCCTGCCGGAGCTCGTCTCGCCTTCGTCCTTCGTTGACTGGCAGACGGATCGCCCGTCGTTGACGGCAGTAATGACGACAACCCACCCCGTTTCCCTTTCAAATCAGTCGAACCAGGAAGTGCAGCAGGGAGGGGGGGGGCGTAGGGGCGTATCGCAGCGAGACATCGAGAGGTGCGCGTTATCGCACGCGTCCTCGGCGCGGACACGACCGTCTCGGGGACCTCGAGAGCAGCCCGGGGGAGCCGGCCCGCGTACAAAGCGGGAATGTGGGCGGTTTGTTGTCGGACGAGAGCGGATGCTCGAAGCCACCCAGCCACCCTGGTGGTGGTGCAGCCAGAGAGTCAACACAGAGGCAAGCGCCCGAAATAAGTCGCCCGAGCCCCCCCACCGCCCGCCGCGGGGTGCAACAATAGCCACATTCACATTGGCATAGGCGCGGCACCGCGTTTGACACGGCATTGCAATTCGGCAGGGCCGGCGACTCCTTGCCCAGGTCCCTTTATCAGCCGCAGGGTGCCGTATTGTGTGGGTGGCATGGTCCCCCCACAAAGGTGCACACACACATACACTCACACACACACTGCCAAAATACTTCCGCGCGACACGTAGATATTTTTAAAAAGCTCACCTGAGGAAGGTCGGTCGGAGTAGCGGGTGCAGTAGACCCAGGCGGGCCACATATTGCTCTTGTCCTCGCCGTCCTTGGAGGCGTCGTCGCCGCTGGTGGACGTCACGTCCGAGGCTATGCTCTTGGCCGGGCTGACCGCGGGGGTGGCCGTCGTGGGCGCCGGCGCGGGGATGGGTACCGGCGGTGCTGTCCGGGGCTTCTTCGCGGCCTTGGGGACGGCGGCGGGCCGGGCGGGCACGCCGGGGAGGCCATTGGGAAGGCTGGACGGCGTCAGGACCCCCGCCGACGAGAGGGGCGCGTCCAGGACGCTGCTTTTCCTCTTGACGGCTGTGCGTCCGAAGTCGGGTCGCAGGATGTTGTCGACGGAGAAGGGTAGTGGGGGCTCGGGCTGCAGCGGTCGCAGCAGTTCCATCGGGGGCTGACTAGAGTGCAGCAGGGGCACGGGGTGGTACAACTCGGGGTGCACGTACTGCAGCTGCTGCAGCGGGTGCAGGCCCAGGGGGCCCTGCAAGGCCGGGCCCAGGGCGCCGTGGTGGTCCAGGAAAGGCCGGTGGATGTGTCCTCTGGCCAGAAGCCTGTAGTCCAAGGCATCCTGGAAGGGCGGCGGCAGGTAAACGGCGGGGGCGGGCACGGCCGGCAGCGGCCGCGGGTGCGCGATGGTGCGCTCCTTGTGCATGATGGAGAACGAAGCCCGCGGCGGCGACGGGCTGCACGGCGACCGCTCACCGTGTTCCACGATCTCGGTCTTGGGGATGATCACCGGTGAGGAGGGTGAGATGCCCGGGGACGTACATCCGGGGGACGTCGACGGCGAGGTGCAGGGCGAGCGCTGCTGCTGGGCCGGCGAGGAGGGCAGCGCGGGCCGCTGGTGCTGCACGCCGTGCTGGTTGGGCCCCGGACTGGGGCTGGACGCGCTGGTCGCGCTGCTGGGTGAGCACCTTTCCGTCTCCAAAGCCATGGTACACTGCACTGCGATGCACTGGGATGCACTGGGAAGCACTGGAGCACTGCCTCGGGCGCCTTAGGCACACATGTTCACACTAACACCGCGCGACTCGGAGTGACGGAGTCAGACGGACTGGCGGAGGAGGGAAGTGACACTCGCCGAGGACACGTCTATATTAGCTGTCTGCTTGCTCTCAACTCAAACACGGCACAATCAGCCGGGCGGCTCTGGCCCCGGCTCGGACCCTGGCTGTCGCTTCGCCCCGCCCAGCGGCCGTCTGTCTCCGTCGCACCCACGCGCGCCGGCCCGAGCTCCGCAGTGCTCCGTCTCTCTCGGCCGCGTGCGCGCCGGGTATAGCTCTATTTCCCCCCTCCACCCGCCGGGCTCGGCGCTGCGCATGCGCGCGGGCGGGGCCCGCCGGGCGCTGCCCCCTCCACGCCGCCCGGCGAGGCGCGCCATTGGTCGAGAGGCGGGTCGGCAGCGTGGCGCGCCGGGACGTGGCGGAGCGTGGCGGCACCGCCTCGAGACTTGAGCCCCAGCTCGGCCTGGCCTGGCCAGGCCTGGTCGTTTGATAAAGAGCTCGGTGCGGGTCGCACCTGGCCGCGACGGAGAGGGAGAGCGAGAGAGAAGGGGAGACGGGGAGGGAAGGCTGCGGGTGAGAGGGAGCAGGACGGCGAGAGCACGTCATCCCACAATTTATGATTATGCCCGGCGTCGGCCGGCATGTAAACGCGCGCAACGAGTGTGTGTGCGTGTCGTGAGAGGAGTCGCGGGCAAATAAAGAAAAGAAAAGCGCACTATTATTCGAAATGAACGTCATATACTATCAAGTTATTCCGAGTAGGGTAATAAAACCTGATGAAATATTTAAATGTGCGCGCTTGTTAGTACTGCCGCTCGGGCTGCTCCGACCACCCAGTGCAGAGCTTCGCGTACCTCAATTAGAGGATCGCAGCGAGTGACTGACTGGCGGGCGCGTCACCCGATACCAGTCTCGCGCGCGAAGCCTCGACTGAGGATAGGTTACACCTATCCACAAATAACCCATTGATTTTGTGTTTTGTTCGCGGAAACATTATTATTGTTGCGCTTCGATTTCTGTAGTTTTCTCGTAAGTAGGTTTTTTAATTTGTTGCTGGACCGGGCGGTCGTCCGAAGAGTATGTGTTGTGTGTGCATTAGCTCTGGCCTCCTCCTCCTCCTCCGGTCAGCCTTCAGTTGAATGGGGAGCAGGCAGGCCTCTTCCTCGTCTTCCCCCAGGTCATGCCTCCCGGCCGGGGCCTCCCGGGGGAAAGGTGAACAGGTAATGTTGACTTGCGGTGTCACAATAGATGGACAAACTCAGGTAAACACATCCATCGCTCTCCTTGTCAATCCAAGTGTGGGAGGGTCCTGGGGGTGGCGCGCGAAATCGCTGTGTGTGTGTGTTTCACTCGTCCGCACGATGCATGCAGCGCCCACAAGGGGACAGAAGAGCACCGTGCAGTGTTGTGTGACGAGCAGCGACGTTTACATCCGAGGCTCACACCACAGCCCCTCCCCCTTTTATCAAAACGTGTTACATACATTCTCAATGGGATATTTATGTCCCATTGGACGGGGAAGGAGATTGTCCTCGGGGACAGTTGTTGCGTGGAACGTCCAGGGATGCAAGGAGATAAACTTTTACAAATTTCCAACTGGAAGGTTTGCATACGTCTGAAAACATCGCCAAAGAAAAGTCCCAAAACGACAAGGGCCAAGGCACAAGACGCGTTGCTCGTTCAGGTTGCTGCTATGTCTGTGCCGCTGTTGGTCACACCGTGAAAGAGTCGCCCATGCCCAACAGGGAAATTAATTGAAGGCGAAAATGTGAAGGACACTGGCCCCAGACCAGATGGACCTGTGTGCCACACACAGACTGAAAGAGATGCCGCCTTGGTTGTCCTGGGCACCCCCACAGAGGGCACCCATAGTGGGCGCCGCAGGTGTCCCGCGAGGCTCAGGACCAATAAAGGATCCAACACAACACACTTTCAAATTTCTAACTCGTTTCGCAATTTTCGACTGAAAACTATGAGAAAAATAAATGCCTGTGATGTTATATAGATGCAGTTGAGGACGTGTCTCGTATCCAGGTGACGCCAACGGACCGTGCTTGGCAGGATCTATGCATGCAACGTTTACATTCCATGTCCCACACACGGCAAACCGACAAAGAGGAGAAGATGATCCTCGAGGGATGCGGCGGTTCGCGCGCGATTACCCAGTCGAGTATGAAAAGTTTTAGATTGCCGAGAGCAGGGATTACGGGGAGAGTGTCTGTCACCTCGCACCCCGTGCGACCGTGCGCGATATCGCTAACATAATCCTATCGGGGATGAGTCATACGTAGCTGGGCGCGGAAAAATTGATATCATTTCCCATTTTTAAGTTTTAGAAAATAGTCGCGAGACATTCAATCGTCCTAAACGCCTACTTCCGTTTCGCTAGCCAGTGTTTAATATGTATCAATGCTCGCTGTCGATTGTATTGCAAAGGCTCTTCCCGTGTGCTGCATCGGGCGTGGCTATAGGCGTGCGGTGCCGCCGCAAAGCTTGCACACTTTGCGGGCGAAACTCAGCAGGGGACATTTCGACATTTTTATGCGTTTGACTCTCGCATCCCTCCTCCCTCCTACAACATGAGACTGCGGGCCGGACTGTGCGAGCGCTCACCGGCCAAACCAAACCAAACCTAACGAAGGAGTCGTGCTGGGTCGGCGCCTTTGCTCGATGCGTGTGGGTGGCGAAGGAGGGAGAAAGAGAGGTAGAGAGAGAGAGAGGAACGTGGCGATCTTCTCACCGGGGATGCATGGCGGCGTTGCCAAGGGAAAGAAGAAGAAAAGGGAGGCTTTCAAATTGGACGGTCAGTTTTACTGGTTTTACTCTGTGGGATTTGGAAGTCTCTCCCCGTCTCTCGTCCCGCACCAACCGTGTAACCAGCCGATGTTTTTGTTTTTTGGTCTTCATTATCGTTTGAATTGACTCTGCATGAGATTCGGTAATAACATCGAACGTGCTATATCGCTTTTTACCCCGTGTTTCTATTTCACATCATATACATCAAACTGTACCCCAAACTTTTCTGCTGCCTCCATCATTTTGATAAAGCAGCAGCTGTTTTTATCACCACCTCGTTTACCCCTTCTCCTTTTTGCTCCCCCCCTCTTCCCTCTCTTCTCTCTC